TCAAATTCTAGATCATGAGAGGATTCACGCTCTAATGTTTTTATTACCCGGGGATCTCATATTAGCAAGCTCACCGATCTGCACTAGATTCTAAAAGGAATCCTAACGAAGTAGAGATTCGATTGCGGTACGATGCTGACTTTTGGCGAACCTCACTTATGGGTAGTGCTTCATAGGTTGAATTAGCTAATTTCTCTTTATTTTCTATTCTTTTTGATTTTCGGCCAAAAGCGGTGTGATATGTTGTTGACATTTTCTTGTTGATTGTTAGGATGTTGCCTTTAACAGCACCGCATGTTTAACTGTTATTCCGCCATGGTCCGGCATTTATCTGCTGGTCGGTGTTTTTAAGTTATTCACCCTTGTTATATGCAACGATAAAAGCATTTTTACTTATTTGATATATGGCTTAACACGTTGACGACAATGTAGGACACATGGGTGTGACTATTCTATCGTGGCGATAGCTAGGTCGCCGCAGCCCGCGATGCGACGTCGGCCGTGGTTAGAATTCAGGGTTCTAGCATTGGGGAATGTAGGATTAGATGAAGTTCCCAGTCGTGAAACACGGTATATGATCACCTGCCCCCTAAAATACAGGATCTTTGTCCTTTGCCATTATTACAAACTTATTCTGTCACCAGTCTAGCTTCGCGCGCCCTCGCGCGCACTTTGAGGTAGCTTCTGTTACTGCATTACCTACCCGATATTGTGATTTCCCACCTTTCTGAGCTTTCTGCGCAAAAATCGATATTTTCAATCGATATCGATCGATAGCATGTGACCCGATGAATTTCGACTTTTACCAGCCCCAATCAATACTGATTCCCAACCTCATTCGAGCCCTCTGCGCAAAAACCGATATTTTCAATCGATATCGATCGATAGCATGTGACCCGATGAATTTCGACTTTTACCACAGCCCAATCAATACTGTGATTCCCAACCTCATTCGAGCCCTCTGCGCAAAAACCGATATTTTCAATCGATATCGATCGATAGCATGTGACCCGATGAATTTCGACTTTTACCACAGCCCCAATCAATACTGTGATTCCCAACCTCATTCGAGCCTTCTGCGCGAAAATCGATATTTCCGCAGAGATTTTGGCGCAAGCCCCGCCCCTCAGGTCGGACCCCGCCCACTACCGTACTCACTTCGAGCCAAGCCCTGCCCTCAACTGCACACGCCCTCAGGGCAACGTACTATACCAACTGTTCTCTCCAATCTAGCCAAGGGAGCCATAGAATGCTGGACAAACAAACACACCAAACTACTGCTTTATATATGGAGAGGATACTGATGTTGATGCCTTCCTCACCGTTCCACTGCGTCTTGGAACGTAATATTTTCCGATTTAGCCAGATTATCGCTCTCTGATAACAATTCAGGCAGTTGATTAATAAAGAAGTCTCATTATGTTCAAAAGGACAACCTTTACATGGCACAAGCTCTGTACAGTGAGGCTTAAATAACTGCGGAGATCTTAAGGTGACTCTTGTTGGCTCACTGATGTCTGGAACTTTGGTCTTATCAGTTCTCTAACCCCACCAGCAACTTATGGACAAGGACCGTTAAGCCAAGCCCATACAAAAATCGCCGCACCATTTGCCGCGCGCGACGCTGCCCGCCGCGTGAGCGGCGTGACCTCATTAGCCGACGATTGAATTGACCGTCTCCCTCAGGACACATACGTACCACAGTATGTGGGCCACGTAGGACAGCGCGGACGTATGTTGTCCCGCCCCAATTTTCATCCAGTATTTGTGGCAATCCCTAGGTTTTTCTTTTTGTATTTATTCACTATTCACTGTGCTTTATCATAACTATAAACTGTATGGTACACAGGAAGATTCGTTATGCCTTAGCGTAGCAAAGGTTTTCTGAAGCCTGCGAAATCTATCAACTTCACGTTTTCGACTTTTTCGCTGGATTAGCAGTTGATTGATATGAATAATATGCAGTTAGAAATGAAATTATGAATGGCAAGACTTCAATGTTACTGGTTTGACGGAATTTTCTGGAGTGGCACAAAGAAATTCAGTATTTGGAGGAGGATTCTACGATAAGGTCGGAGGTCGAAGAACGAAAAACTTACCAAGTGGTCAGACAAGCGGACCATTTGAAAACACGTCCGGAATGTTGCGTACCCGAGCGTAGCAGACAACAAGCAAGCGTTGATGTCGCGCTCCTTTTGCGGCTTGAAGGTGCGCGGCAAAGGCGCTAGAAGCTTGCTCGACCCGCAGTCTACTGCTTTGTCTGCAAGTCCCTGCCGCTGTCGGTGCTTTAAATGCGCGGACACAATTGTGTGCAGCGATTGCATTGCGGTACAATGTCATAAAATACTGGAGCAACTGGAGTTAGGTTCGTGAAACTCGTCCACATGCCCCTTCTCTATCCCAAGGTGGAATGTGGCTGAAATAGGGAGGTCCTGTGCGGGGCGTAATCGGGTTTCTCTTCTTTCCTTTTTCAGACCACTTTACACCTCTAGCTTCATCAGAGAACGCTTTTCCACACCAATTTTATCCCGACGCTCGCCTTTAACACATTCACGCCGATGGCCGCCCATATGGGCTGCCAACAACATGCGCTCCTGGGACGATGGCAGCCCATATGGGCTGCCAACTGATAATCGCTTGCCAGGCGCTATAAATGGGAAGATACGTGATAAAACATGGGAGATGAGCGAGACACAGACGCTGAAACATTAGCAGTGCTGGACCTGAGTTTATGGGGTGTTCGGGGCAAACAATCCTGTTTCGAAAGCAAATGTGACGGTATCTCTGAAGTTGCTCTCCCAGTGACTCGAAGTTGCGCTTACTTGGATTGTTCCGGTTATTAAATCGCTGAGTATATCTTTGAGCGCCTGAAACATTTTTGCGTATTGTTTCCTACTGATTTTGTCAAAGGTTTGAAATAAAGGTGAACCAGTTGTCAGGTCAACTTTCAGGTGGTTCTGTACTAATTCGGCTCCAAGAAATGTTTTAAACCCTGGTCGACGAATGATACTAGATCGATCCGATGGATATTCAACGGCGATCCAACGACGATCAGGTGGTTAGGGATCGTCAAAGATTGTGTTCTCCCGTCATAGTCGCCGATTCCGAGTGCGATATTGCCGTAGTTCACTGTAGGTGGCCATGTAGGTGTACTTTCCATGTTTCTGCCATTTTGTAGCTTTTTAGGGATTTTTGGGAACATGAGGTGGCGATGGTGTTGTGATGAAGCGTCGTGTTGCTTCTCCACTGAATCGAATCCCGTGTTAGGGGGGGGGGGGGCAAAGCCATCCTATTGCTCTTGCAGGTTTGGTAAATTTGCAGTTGACTAAAATTTTGGCGTGAGCGTTGACTAGTCCCGTGCAACGGATGTAGTAACCTGTTAGGCCTTCCAGTAGCTCTACAATTCTGCATAGAAGTCAACTGCACGGCGTAACTGGACTGATTGATGCCCAGCGCTCCCTTGTTCTTCCTTCATTGCCAGGATTCATTGGTTTCGTTATTATCGCTAAAAATTGTGCTGCGCCACGAACGCTGCATATTTTGGGGCAATCATAAAGTTTGCGAAGGTCATTGAGCAGCAGGTCAGACACAGTTACACACTGTACTTTCTACTACTCATAGCTATATTTATATCGGTGGTAATTCTGAATTCCTCATGGATGAAATATTTATCATGGAACTGCGAGTCGTCTGATAGCAAAGCGCCAGGCAGTGTAAGTTCCCCTATCTTTCAATAGTATTTGTTTCTCGGATTTGCAAGTGAAGGTCAAAAGGTCACTGAGGTTCAGTAAGTCCACATTTTTCATAGTAATTGAAATGTACGGGGCTTAGGGTCGTTAGACATGTGATGTGGCGGTAGAGCCAAGAGATCGGGTCTTTGATGCTCCTGTTTTACTCTTTCGAAGAGATTAATTGAAAAAATAACATTCTCGAGATTACCAAGCATCCCGAAACGGCACTGGAGGGTAAAAATGACTTTTCAAATAGCGAATAATTCTACATGTCCTCAAGGCCAAGTCTGAGCGCAGTCTCTCAAAAGCCCAACCCGAGCAGGACATAGGTTAACGATTTCCTCCGGTCTGTAGGATAGACGTATAGAGGGAAAGCACGGAAGTGGCACTCGCGTGGATGGATACTGCCCGACAAGGGGTTTTGCCAATCTTGCAGAGATCGCCTCGACCGCTTCAGCCGCTTCAACCACTTCAACTCTTCTAGCCGGCAACGTGCTGTTGTCTGGCGCTCTCTCATTCTTGTGCTCGCCTATCTCTCTCCACCGGGCTCAGCCTCTCAGTGCCTTATGGTTGGCACAAAAAAGTGCAAGCCCCCCACATTCACTCATTAGTGACGAATTCTTCTCTCTTTCCCTTTAGTCGGCTCACTCCGCACCAATACTTTCATTTTCGTGTGCAAGAACCAGACCCGTTTGATCGTGGGACATGCCTTTAAGTCAGTAAGCAATCGCAATGGTACCCACTGACCTTCACTGATTAGACTCATTCGACTTTCCTTGAACTTTTGTGGTCCAAAAGACTTTCACTTCATTGGGTAGTTAGATAAAATCTCGTGCCAACCTGACTAACCTAGATCAGTATCAGCAAGGCGCGGGAGCGATCGTCTATGTATGGAACGCTGAGTAATAGGGTCCTTTGGTGTAGAGGGCGTTGAAGACTCAATCAGAATTAGTCAATTAGAATCCTCTTTGGGATAACTCAACGTCGAAAATTCCTCGGTAAGGATTGTGTTGGGATCTCCGGTGGGGGTAGGGTCGCAATGAATGAGATCGGCGCATGTTTCGAGAAGGTGGAGCACAGCTCACCGTGTAGATTTTTTGAGAATTTTTCGTACGAAAACGTTGTCAGGTATGGCTTCAGTTGGCGCAGTAGGAGGGCCTGGGACTGAGATAACTTGAATCCCTAACTAAGGGTGGTCGTATCTATCGTTGCGGATTGTTGTGACCTCATTCTTTGAGACAAGACTCATTCTGATTTCGACCTAAACTTATGGGAACGGATGGGAGGAAGGGGTAAGCGCTTGTTGTAGCAGTATTTACTGATAACCTTCAGAGGGCTGTGGTAACGTGTCAGCGGCGTAAATGAAATGAACATAGGTTGGTTCCTATCGAAGCACATGACAATTAGGCGTGCACTGAATAGGAATTGATCCTTCACTCGCTGGGTTTCAACTGCGTGGAATCGTAGTCGTACTGGCCCAAAAACTCAAAAATCATTATTTCAATTGAGATCTAACCGAAGGTGTTCCAAATTGAATCGTATGCGCGGTCTTTACCCTGATATGGAATGTTCCAGCTCTCGAAGCCGCCCTCAGTGATCCTCTCGCCAGCCAATAATCACTGCCAAAATGTTCAATATCTTGTGGTGGTCGTCACAAGAATAACGGAACCATCAGTGAGAGCAACATTTCGGAATACCTACGGGCGACTTGGTGCAAAAGTACGTGGTTTATCACACATTTCCACAAATATTTTTGTTACTAGATATTTACGATTTACTAAAGAGGGAGAAGTTTCTGTGTAGACGTAGAAAGGGACAAAGCTGGGTACGAATTCTGCGTATGAAATTGCTTCGGCCCTAACGCTAGCTTTAACGTTCAGTTGACGTTAGTTGTGTTGTTGCGACGAATTATCTAATCCCGGTTTGTGGTTATAATGATACGGATGCTATTGATTAGTCCAAAAGGATGTTCGAAGAATAACTGGACACTTCATAGTATGCCAGGCTAAATCGTATTGTGGCTTTAGCACGAACTACAATCCAACACTTCCCAAACGGCGCTAGGTTTACCGTACCTTCCCTGATCGCAAATGAAATGATCCAAAGTTCAACTCCCGTGACGACAAATTGTTTGCAATTCGTCTGGGCACTTCAACTATATGCCGCAAAAGACTAACAATGACACCTATTCCGCGATGGCAACATTGGCGGCTGGGCACCAAAATTTGAGCAAAAATTAGTCATCACCGAGGATCGAACTCTGGACCATTTCTTCACCACTGTTTCTGACATTCCTGGAGGCGTTCAGGAAAAATGGATCATGGTTCTGTGTTCCTCGCATGAGTCCTTACAATATGCAGAAAACCGATTCGAAAAAGCGCTCCATGTCCTGAAAGACCTTCCTTGTCAGATTGTGGTATATTGACGACGAGTATTGTAAGCGTCCGCTGAAGTCGCGCGACGTACAGGTTTGTCACCCGTAGCCTGCATCATCTCGCACCACGGCCTGGTTGGTCTCGGCCTTATTTTTAAACAAAATTCGCGCATTCCCTTTTTTCTTTTTCTTAGGTATTTTTTCTTGCTATTCTTAGTATCCCTTTCCAGTACAAATTCACGGTACTGTTCCCACTAGGCATCTCAGATGATGAAAAGGTCAACATGAAAGTACGACGGGAACATCGAACCTATGGCGATATACTTCAGACGAATTTTATTGACAGTTACCGTAATCTCACGCTAAAGGTGATTGTTTGTCTTATCGATCGTTATGTTACTTGCTATATAAATAAAAAGTGTTCATAGTGCACGAATATCGATGCGAGTGTAACGTGTCAAAACGGGGCACCCGACAGGAGGCTCATCGCGCGGCTAGAAGGCAGAGACGCCCCGATAGGTCAACACGGAGAGTCATTACTGCTTCTGTGCATCTGGGATATTATGTACTATAGCACACAGTCTATTAACCTTGACGCGAAATTGCTGTAGTGCGCGCTGCAGCTCGTCCGCTGACTCCGCCTCCCGCCTCTCCGTCCACGACGGACCTCCTGTCGGGTACCTGCCAAAATGTGCCTATACGCGACCAGTTTCCGCGTGCGATTGCGTGCGCAGTATGTATGCCATGTTTTCTGCTGATTTCAATCCATTACAGACGTACTCGTACTCAGATTATGTACGGCAGAACTGCATGAACGTGAAGGCAGTACTGAAAGTAGACGACGATCTCGCGTGGAATGTCGATAAAATGTTCAATTACCTGTCGGAAATTGACACTACTGGCAATGTTCTCTACTGTCGATCTGTGAAGGATCCACTCGTAAATCGTGATGGCCGAGAACGGTGGTACGTTCCTATCAAAGAAGCCATTTTGTTGATTACATCCCACTGAAGAACTGCTATTTAGGCGTGTATCAAAGAGCGAATATCCATATAAGTACTTTCCCGAGTACTGCCTGAGTCCTGTTTACGCGGCTACACCAATGACAATATCAGCGTTGGCCGAAGCCACCAGCACCGTACCACATCTCTGGGTAATTACTTTTTTTCAAGATGTTTTGATATTTTCTCAGCGGTACACAACTTAAAGGCGGAGCTTACGATGAAAAGGCAGTCCGACAAAAATCAGGAAGTGGTTGTCAGTGATGTACGGATAAAGAAAACAACGAAGAAAAGTGGCCTAGAACGTAAGAAACGAGGCCCCTTCTCTGACGATTAATTTTCCCATCGTCACAAGTGCCCTCTTCAACGCCGACGCTCTCTCTTTGCTAAAGGGCTAGAGAATGGAAAACGTTAACCTGCCGATCCTAGAAATGACGTCTATTCCTCAACTGCGACAGAGGCCACAGATAGTCAAGGGGCAGAGTTAGGCTTTGGTGCCCCTACTTGCGAATTTTTGCTAGAAAATTGTTAGAACTAGTGGCTTTGCAAGTCAGCCTACATTTCGCGAGCTAGAAATCCTTCCCTTCAAGTAGTAATGTAATATGCCTTTAAATCCGTAATATTACGACCTTGTGCAAAAGTTTGGATGCACACCCGCCTTCCGCTGTTTCCCAGGTGTACGCAGCTCGTCGGATAACATCTGATAATACGTCATGGCAGCTGTTATGGTATCCTAGGGTAGCGGCTAACCTACCCCTACCGCCTACCTTCCAAGAAAAGTTATGGCGGCTCATTTGGCTACATGCCTCTCCATAATTGCTTTTTTTCAGCTTGACGATGTCTGGAGTCTTGGAATCGTAGCCAGGGAGATATCGGCATCGTTTCGACCGCTCTCATTCAACGTTGAACGCGAAATCTTCGAACCATTTCTCAATGAAGTGTCATAACACAATATTTTGGAGACGGAAAGAAGATGGTCTGATGTTTTCAACAATTGAATGACATTTGCAACCACTATATCCTATTGGGATATTTGCTTCACAGTTAACGAAACGCATTTACTTTCGCATATCCTTGTAGGTATTTTAATGATCTGTGTCGCGCTTCAAAGCGCGTTAGGGCCCGTTTTGCCTTGCAGTAGGAAATCCTTTGTGCTTTCTAGGCGTTTTTGTTGATAATGTCCTCATGCTTCGTCTCTTTATGAGCTTACAACCAAAAACCAATATCCATATTCTAATAAGCACGCACCGACTCCTGCCAATTTCTTATCACCCTTTTTACGTGAAGCGGTCTTTCACCCACACAGCGATTTTGAACGGCGAGCGTGCGCGACACTGGCAGTCAACCCTACGTTGTTACGAGTAACAACGGGGGGGGTCGTACTCAGTTGGGCTTGGAGGGGGGTCGTACCCTCTCGGTGGCCGACAGTGGGATTCTTGGTAATATCGGATAATAGCCAGCACGTTACGTTTTCGTAAGATGACTGATACTAGAGCATCTATAAACCACGATTCCCTCTAAATGAGCTTTCAAATGAATCAGCGAATTAGAAGGGCGCCCGAGGCGTGGCGCGCACCAAGGCAAGGGATGTAGTGCAAGCGCATGCTCGGAGCTTTCTAGCACATCCTAAATTAAACATAAAATTGGTCTTCCAAGAAGTTACGGGCAGTGAAACCTAAGAAAACTCGCGTTTTCGAGAAAATGGCTTGAAGAATACCCCTCAAAATAAAAAGTAACAACGGGACTAATTTTTGAACTGCTGATCTTTTCAGGAACGCTTTGGTGCTCGTAAGAAAGCTTGAACCTGTTGTATTATACCGTGTTCAGCTTCCCAAATGAATGACTTTGAAGAATTATTATGTTATTTATGTTATTTTTTTTTGTTACTTGGGTCGTATCAATCACTCATGAGGGGGGGACGTAAAAAAATACCAAAGAGTAACAACGATAAGGTTGACCCTGATCACTGGTCTTGACCTCCCTGTCATCCATTTTGGCAATCCAGTTATTGACGACCCATAAAGGCTATTGATCGGCGACTTTATTTTTTGTTTGAAATCATGCGAAAATTCCATTTTTACTAGTCAATATTTAGCGCTTTTCTGATTGTCTCCATTTACTTGTCTGTCTATCCTTTTCTTGTCGTGTTTTCCGAATTTTTATGATCGCATTAAGTTTTTTGTTGGTTCTTTGTTTTATATGAATGTATTTCTTATTACTCATACTTCAATCAAATCTATGCTTTATATGATTAAACTTTCTAATTGTAAAATTAAACTGTTTTTTGCATTTTTTTTCGATCTCAACCTCTTTTTTTCGAAAAAAAATACCTGAAGGATCAGATGGTGCTAAACAAGTAGGGTGGGCATGCCACATTTTTCTGAACAGAAATGTATGTAAGTGGGATTACCGTCACGAAAATCGGGGAATTCGTGAGCCAAGGGGAGTGTAGCAAATCTCGGGGGGGGAGGGCGGTCACTTGGAATGCGTGGAAAGCTGGGCGTGCCCAACCCACTTCTGTAGAGGCGGTCAGATAAACCTCTCAAAGGTTCGTCCACTTAGATCGGTCTGATAAGGCGCGATTTCTTTGTGAGCACGACAAACAACAAACAAATAAAAAGCTAGGTTTTTGATACACAACAATCTAGATACAGTTAACAAGATGACAGCATAAATGGGCTATCAGTAAGTTAATCATGCGAATAAGGAAGTACAGGGCGCAAACCACGCCCATTGATCATCAGCGCCATGTGATCTTAAGTTCGAAGGTTTTCCTTTCTTCAGGCCTTTTGTTCGTTTTTATCACTGGTGGACCAGTCATCACAAGTGCTTCAGTGCTCGAGCACAAGAACTTGCTTCATGGCTTGGCCTATACAATACAAGCCTATGGAAGGTTCCTTTGAATGGCTGCCGACCCACCTATTCTTTTAGATATTTGGCCATTTATAGGGTTGGGAGAACCGAAAGGTGCTCAAGGATTCGAAGAAATCTCATTTCGCACGATCAGTAGTCCAAAGAAGAACTGAGGCGAATCTCTGCCCAAAAGAAGACACGCGGCCAGGACGAACTAGGCAATGAAGGCGTTTTCAACTGTATTCAAAATTGTCTTCAAGTCGAATGCAAAACTCCGGCTGGTAACCCACAAGAGGGTAAACGAGAGGAGGAGCAGGGCCAGTCAACCAATAGAGAGAACAGGTTTGGGCATTCTCTTTGCAATACTCAACCGCAATTTTGAGGTTTGTTAAATATTTTTTTTCGGAAAAGTAGAATCGAATTAAACAAAAAAAACATTTGGAATAAGTGGAGTGGACAGACATCATAAAAGTGCGAGTGGCGACTTTTTGGTTTGTGGCAAACCGGCACCATAAAAATCGGACCTAATGACCACCGCACTAATTGTGTGATCGATTCCATTCGGTCTGTAGAATAGACCCTTGAAGGACAATCACAGATGTGGCACTCCGTGCATGGAAATCACCCAACAAAGGCGCTAGGGCCTTGCAAAGTTAGCTGCAGCAGCTGCAATGTTCCCCGTCGCAGCACTGTTGTCTGGCGCCCTCTCATCTGTTGCGCTCTCTCGCCTCATACTCTCCTCTCCGCGCTCAGTCTCTCATTGCCTTAGCACAGCCGCATACAAAGGTGAGCAAGCCCTCAACCTGAGCGTTTTTGACGATTCTTTCCTTTTTTCTTTACTGCCGGCCCATTTCACCAAATACTCTCACATTCACGTGCAAGAACCGCACTAGTTTGGCTCATGCACGTAGCCTTTTAAGGCGTACCATCTGCTCCCTTTGCGTTTGCATCTTTCTTATTGAATTGGCGAGACAGGTTAGCAGGAGGGAGGCCAAGAGGCTGTCCAGCCTCGGATCATCTCGAATCACCTACCACCGTTAGAAGCCTTGAGATCAACTTAAGTGCTGAAGTTTATGCCAGCCGCAGGACCTTAGTAATTGTTTTGCAATCTTCCAGCCGGAGCGTTTTCTGCCTGCCGTCGGTGAAGCAAATGGGATACCCGATCGCTTGACTAGGCCCGCGAAATCTCATTATATATGCGAACCCGACTAGGGCCGTGGGTCCCTAGCATAACGCTTGCGTCGGTTGATTCCTGCTGCAGTTGGATTTTATTGATGTCGTAAAACAATTGCATGGATCATAAATCAAATGATTTATTGGACGCATTAAGTGTTTTTGTAGCAAATGGGCTACCTCCTTTCCTGAGGAGATATATAGACAGCTCTCAATATTTCAGACTATACATTTTATGGTAGAACCTCATTTTACTACCCATAAAGCACGGTCATTCGCATTGTTATAGTCGGTTTTATGTTCCGAAGGAGCACCCACGATGCCATAGCTCTAAAACGCGAAAACCCAAACAAACGATCTCTAATCTCACCCAAACATGTTCGAAGCCTTATCATCCCAGTAAGCCTCCAGCAGCGAGTATTGGGATGTATGCATTAACGACACTCAAATGGCTCCTAAGATTAGATACTTTATCCGATTCGTTTACAGCGAAATTCAGGTGACTACAAATCGATGGGTATCCAATCCAGGATGCAGAAGGCGTGACTAAAGAAATAACTGTGGGAACCTTTTCCGCTCCATCACCCCACTACCGTATCCTACCCCTTTTTTCTTTTTGGACAACGGAAGAGAGTCTCCTACGCCGAACGCAAGTCTGCAGCAGGCAGGCAGGGCAGATGAGCAGATAATGATCCCTTGTGTGTGTGCGAGAGAGAGGATAACAGAAAACAGAGTAGAGAGAGCATAACAGTTCAACATTGCGACGCAGATAAGATATCAAACGGTGGGCGGACCCTGATAGCTTTTGTGGGAACTGATCAAAGTCCCCAGCGCCTAGTTTCTCACTGGCACGTTTCGATGTGGGAAGGTGGTGTGAGCTCTGCAGTGGCAAGACTCCACACCCTATCCACGGTAGGATTAACTTCAGTAAGGCTGAGCCGGGACTTTTGAGAATTCAAAATTCAAGCTTATCTCCAGACGCAGTAGCTGCAACGTCATCGGTGGCCATGAGAGGCTTTTGCAGTGTGTCGCATAGTTAAATAAATAGGCAGCTTAGCTTAGTGAAAATGCCTACGCTTCCCTAATTAGCAGCCGCAAACCTCAAGGACTCGAAAAGGGATTTTCTTGCTTGCGCACTCGTTTGCACGTCATTGTATGACGAGTTTGCGTTGGCCAAAATCACATTGCCCTTAGGGATCGGCAATTTCTGATGCGGCGATGTTCCTGATGCCTTTCAATTAGCCTCGTTCACTTAGTCGGTCCCACCTTCTGGTGCACATTTATCGGTCAGGATAGATCTTCGATTGGCGCTATCGCAGTATACGGGGGCATCCTTCAAGGCTAAGCCTACGGTTGGCTGGCACTTTGGGGAAAATGAAAATGGCTTACGCTCCATGGAGTTGCCTCCCTCTGCCTGAGGCTGAGTCCCCTTTCTAACGCAAGGGATCGTTTGACGTGGTTTTAAATGCGCATCACCACCACGATGCCCCCGTATCTTGCGATAGCGCCTTCCGATTTCGCCAAGGGAAGGCATTTCTTGGTTTTAATTTCATGAGTTTCTTCGGATTGTCATCGAATTCGAGGAGATAGCTCCAAATGTCTTGGTTTTCTTATTATGCAATGCGCCGGTTTTCGGTTTCAATTGAGCTTTCCGTCATTTCACACGCGCTAGATTCTATTCTCATCCAGAATCTGACTTTCTGGCGCATGCCAATTTCAATTCTTCCCGATTCCTCTTTTCGACTTTTTGATCAGTTCGCTGCCATTTTACGACTGCATCGCCCCTTTTACTAGATCAATCAGTCACTTTTTCATAACTGCGCCACTTTTCGAAG